CGGTCTTATCTTCATAGGAGGTTACAGTTGTGTCTGTCCGTTGGAATGGCAAGGAAGTAACTGCAAAGGTAAGATGCATTTCCCTCTGAAATAAAAATAAGGCAAGTTTCTGGAACGTTATTGACTTCCCGGCAAGGAAGCTGTCTATGATAATGTATCAAAATGACTACGATCCTCGCCATACTGAGTCATCGGAGTCATGCAACTTACGTATTCTGAAGCGTGTAAGATATCGATGCTTCAGTTTCAAATTCGAATGGGAAATGCGAATTCGCCTACCATGAGTTTTCTGTAGATCAGTGGTAAAATGTTGAAGCTTTAAATGCAAAGATACGGGTGAAATCTCTCGTTATCTTACGTTATACATGTGTCAAATGACCTCATGGATGAAACTTCATTTGTGCAGATTTTGTGGACAACTGCTTCAGCAATTCTGTTGGTGTGGCCAATCCTGACATTATCTCCGATCAGCAGATGACAGCATCTTCTCAAAGAGAAGTGTCCTTTCAAGCTTCTCACGGCCGACTAAACGGACAAGGTTGGTGTGCAAGGAATGGAAAAAGCCACGGAGAATGGCTTGGAGTTGACTTCAACAGAACAGTTGACTTGTGCGCTGTTTCTACACAAGGAATTGAAGGTAGCTGGGTCACGGAATTCAAGCCCTCTTATATCACTACAAAAGGAAATTGGATATCTTATAGAGGAGCAGATGGGAAGGTCGTGGTGAGTTGGAAAGTCATTAAGTAGACAGTCTCAGAAGTTTTAAAATTCTCTAACCTGATCAGTTTATACTTGATTCTTGAAAAAATCGAATAATTTGAAAAAAGCAAATTATTGCAAGTTATTATAGAACTACACTCCGTAGTGTACAAATAACGCTCAAGACGAGTACAAACATCACGCAGTATTTGTACTCTAGAGAACCGGTTAGACAGATTTTCTGGCATCGCGGAAGCGACGAATTCGATTGAAGTTACAAAAAAAAAAAGAATGGCGAACAATTTAAATTATTTTTCTGAAGACGAAGAGTCGGAATGGCTGGCGAATATTGATCCAAGTTTATTAGATAAATCGAACGAAGAAAAGCAGTTAGACGACAATGAAACTTCGTCATGTATTGAAGAAAACAGAAACAGCAACACGACAACGCGCTAATTCCGTTCCGCTTCGCATCCGTTTGCCACTCCACTCCACTCTGATCCACGATGTTAGTCAGTTGTTCACTCGGCAGTTCGCTGTCGTACGGTTCTCCTCTTGTTGTGTTTTTTTGATCGTGAGGAATTTCTATTTCACTGTCCCTGTTGATGTGGTTAGGGTGGAATATTATATGAATAACCTTTTGTGAGACAAACGATGATACTTTATTATTAATAATAATAACAATTGTACTTTACCAAGATGAACAAGTACAACCCTTTTTACAAAATTGGATGAATTTGTATAAGGTTCACGCAGAATATTTTTGTTATCCCATTGATGTCGTTGATCGCTAATCACCTAGCGTGACCCAAACATTCAGTACTCATTTCTTAAGACGTATATGCTCTTGCTGTTAATCCATAGATCCTTGTTATTACTATAGAGAGATACAACAAAGCAGACGAAATAGGGACAATCAAACATCCCATGTCAAATGTGACAGTGATTATTTACCTGCTGAAAAGACCTGGTACCGCTTTG